CTAAAAAAATTTTAACCAATCAATCCCGGGGGGGGGGGGGAAGTTCCCCCCTTCTCCCCCCCCCCCCGCAGGCGTCCATGTAGCCAACATAGCACCCGTATCCCTTTTTCGTCGCTTCCCCCCCCCCCCCTTCCGAGCTCTAGTCGGCATGTCCGTCCCATAATGGCATGCTGCCCAAGAGGCGTTACCACAGACTCCTAGAACGCTATCCGGGCACAATATCACCATGTAGGGGACCTGCGCGTGAGGGACAGCGCGGCTGCATTGTACGTAGGACCAAGTGCAGGTGAAGAAAACGCCAGAAACAGGCCATAACCCAGCAAACTACCGCCCAATATCCCTGACCTCCGTTCCATGCAAAATCCTGGAACACAGCATCTATCGCCACATCATGAACCACATTGAACACTACAAAATTTTGACCAACCTAAATCACGGTTTCCGCTCTGGATTCTCAACGGAAACTCAATTAATCATCACCACCAATGATCTCCTAACCTCCTGTGACAAAGGCACCCAGGTCGACATGGCAATTCTCGACTTCTCCAAGGCTTTCGACACTGTTCCACACAGCCTTCTTCTACATAAGCTCCACCACTACGGCATTACAGGCAATCTTCATTCCTGGCTCTCAACATTCCTAACACAACGTACCATGCAAGTAGTGGTGGACGGCGTCCAATCAGGGAAAGCCACCGTAGACTCAGGAGTTCCACAAGGCACAGTGCTGGGCCCCCTTCTCTTTCTCTGTCACATATACGACCTACCCGATACAGTAAATTCTCAAGTTCGGCTGTTCGCTGACGACTGTCTTATCTACAGAGAGATAAACTGCAACGATGACCACAACCACCTACAAACAGATTTGAAGTGCCTTATGAATTGGGCGGACAAATGGGACATGAAATTTAATGAAAGCAAATGCTACACTATGACAATCTCAAGAAAAAAAAACCATCAACTTATATTTACTCACTAAACGAGACAATCCTCCTACAAGTATCCAATAGTCCATACCTTGGAATTCTCTTCTCAAATAACCTAAAATGGTCACCTCATAGAAACAAAATTAAAAAAAAAAAATCCACCTTAGGTTTCATCCGAAGAAATCTGCGCCACTGCCCAACTTCCTGGAAACGAAATGCCTATCTCGCACTCGTCCGTCCACTACTGGAATATGGTGCGATCATCTGGGACCCACACCTTAAGCAAGACGTGGACACGATGGAGCGAATTCAACGTAACGCGGTGCGTTTTATCGCTCGAGNAGCAAGACGTGGACACGATGGAGCGAATTCAACGTAACGCGGTGCGTTTTATCCCTCGAGACTACAAACCCACCACTCCTGGCTTCGGACTGGCCTCTTAAAAAGATTTGACCCCCCCCCCCTTTAAAGACAGACGAGAGGAACTCTGCCTGATATTCTTATATAAAGTGATCATGGGACTGAGGCCGGCCATCCCAGCAGGCACGTACCTCACCCCACAGAAGCCGAGTAGACTGAACAGAGCACAACGTTCACTGAACAGTGACTTCACGACTGACATGCCCATAAACAATTACACCAAAAACAATAGCAAATGCTTCAAAGTGCCTCAGTGCAACACAGTGCACTAAAAACATTATTTCTTGCAACGCACAATAATAGCATGGAACCACCTGAACGATGCCACTGTGAACTCGACATCAGTCGAAAGCTTCAAGGCTGCCCTGGCATTAGCTAGGAGTTGTTAGAATAGCAGCATCATATCCCCAACCGTTGCAAAGATGCCATTACATGGATGCAGCAACGAAACATTACCATAACTAGAACCAGAGCCTAGCCCTAGGCTGTGGTACCGCGCTATATAAGACCACTTTAATAAAAATAATAGTAATAATATGATGTAATAGTTCTCCGCAAAAGCAAGTTCGACCATGCTAAAACACTTCTGAGAGAGCTGCACTGGCTGCCGGTGCGTGCTCGCATAGAGTACAAAATCGCAACGTTGTGCTACTGCTGCTTACATGGCCTGGCGCCGTCCTATCTGAAAGAGCTGCTGACGCCTTATGTACCCACTAGACAACTCCGCTCATCCGACAGTGGCAAACTCTTGAAACCACGTGTTCGCCTTGAGACTTGCGGAAAGCGCACTTTCGCATTTGCTGGTCCAACAATTTGGAACGCCCTTCCAGTCGATCTCAGAAACAATCAGACACTGGAGCCCTTTAAAACCGATTTAAAGACACATTTATTTCCCAAACACCTTCTGGGAGGATGTCTACCATATTTTCCATTTAATGCATATTGGCTGTATTGCTAAGTGTTGAAATGGCTAGAAAGACTTTGACTTGGTATGCTCGTAATTAGTTTTTGTAGTGTTGCGTTTGTTTTAAATGTGGTAAATTATAGATTTTATTTTTAAATTTTTTTTTTTACTTTTGTACCGCGCTTCGAGCCTATGGGGATGAAGCGTGTTTTTGAAATAAACTTTATTATTATTATTATTTAGGGTGGGTCGTGGCATCCCTTGCCGATGATTCTTATCATGCAGCCTTTGAGGGGACTGCTCCTAGGCAACCGTTTCGTCCCAGCTGCGATATGACATAATCACAAAGTAGAAACCATATGTAGTAGAAACCCTACTTGAGGTCGTCTGTCGCCACTCTGGGATGGGAAGGGGTGTTTTGGGGACTTTAAAATTGATCCATCCCAGCCCATAGAAATTTCAAATGCAGGAGCTGTGAGAGCAGAACCACCAGCCGACCAGATGTTCGCCTCACTCGCATAGCCTATCGAGTGGAAGGTGGGTGGGGTAGTCTCAGGGGTGGAATGCCCCCGGCGTACCGCTTCGCGGCCCGACTGGAATAAAGACCCGTGGGGGACTATGTTGAAGG